AAACTCACTGGGTTTTGTTTGCTTGTTTTTGTTTTTGTTTTTGTTTTACTGACTCCACTTTAATGTTTAATGTAAATAAAGAGAGATTTAGAAGAGACTTTAGACAATGCCATACAGGGTTAGCCCTATGCAGAGGAGGAAGAAGACAGGGGATAACTTAACAGCAATATGTCACTCTGCCCCAAATTTCTCCAATCATAGCCTGAAATTTTAAGGTATTCGGAATTGGTTAACATAATAATCCATTATCAGTCATTAATACTTCATCATTAATTAGTTTATCAGTCACTTGACTAGGAAACTTTAGATTTGAAGGAGGAAACATAGGGAAAGGTTTCTAACACTGCAAGTCAGATCCAAGTAAATAGGTGAAAGGAAATTTTCTAGGCATTTGAACTCAGGTCCTCCTGACTCCAAGGCCGGAGCTCTATCCACTGTGCCACCTAGCTGCCCCTGAATGTTAGTTTTACACAACATGACTACTATGGAAGTGTTTTTGCATGACTACACATGTATAACCTGTATTGAGTTGCTTGCCTTCTCAATAAGGGTGGGTGGGGAGAGAGGAAGGAAGAGAATGTGTAGTTTTCTAAGTCAATATTCTAAGTCAATAAGTCAAAAATTCTATTTGAGTCTGATACTGCCGAGAATCCCCAAAGTTTTAAAAACAAATGTTAAAAATTGTTTTTACATGCAACTGAGAAATAAGATATACCGGCAATGGGGTATAGAAATCTATCCTGTCCTATAGGAAAATAGAAAGGAAGGGGATAAGAGAAGGGGGGAGTGATAAAAGGGAGAGGAGATTAGAGAAAGGGGTATTCAGAATGCAGGCTGTCTTGGGATGGGAGGAGGGGTGAGAAGGGGAGAAAATTTGGAACTCAAAATCTTGTGGAAGTGAAAATTGAAAACTAAAAATAAATAAATTAATAAGGAAATTCTCCAGGCTACTGATGACCAAACTGAGCTCTGCCCATCCCCACTCTCATGTTAGCATGTTAGCCTTCTTTCTGGCCATTCTCTTTACCTTGGCCCATATCATCACATTTCACCACCACATGCCATTCCCTGGCTTTCTGCTCTCCTTTCACATTGTCTCTCTGCAGCTCCAAAAATCAGCTTAAGGAAGAAGGTCAGAATTTCATGCAGGTCCATGGGAATCTTAGAGTACCTGTGGCATGAAGAAGTTTTAAAAAGAACCATGGCTGAGCCTTCCCCCATGACAGAGAGATTGAAGCAATAAGTATGGGGCTGTGGATGCAAATCCATTCAAGGATGCTGAGGCCCCCAAAGTAGAATGGCAAATTACCAGTGCTGCGCCTCCAAACATCTTACCTTCTCCTTCCCCTTCACTTGACCCAAGTCAGTCTTCTCACAAAATGAAAATTCACCTGAACCTTGGTATGTTCTGGTCCCACGGTTGTAAAGAAGAAGGCAAGCAGAGTCCACGTTTTATGGAATCTTGGAAGAAGAGAATGGAAGACTTGGAAAGTAAAGATCTCCAGTCCTGTCCAGGGAAGCACATGCAGATTCTAGATCAGTCGACCCTAGATTGAAGAAAGCAATTCATCAGACTTTTGCTTTGTTAAGTCGTTTCAGTCATGCCCAACTCTGTGACCCCATTTGGGGTTTTCTTGGAAGATACTAGAGTGATTTGCCATTTCCTTCTCCAGCTCATTTTACAGATGAGAAAACTGAGGCAAACAGGGTTAAGTGACTCGCCCAGGGTCACTCAACTACTAAGTGTCTGAGACCAGATTTGAACTCAGGCAGTTGAGTCTTCCTGACTCCAGGCCTGGTGCTCTATCCACTGCACCACCTAGCAAACCTATTCATCACACTACCTAGCATGATTGAAATGTAGATCATAGATTTCTAGCTACAAGGGACCACATAGAGGCCATCTGGTCTGACCCCCTCATTTTAAAATGAGGGAACTGAGGTCCAAAGGGTTTCAATGACTTGGCCCTAGTTCACACGGGCATTAAGTGGCAGATCTAGAATTTAAAGCCAGGTCTTCTGATTCTAAATCCGCCGTTATTTCTACTGTACCGTGTTTAAAGACATCTGAATTCCTCTGGCCTAATTCTGTAGGAAATTCTGTGGACAGATTTCTCGTCTATAATTTTGTTTCCCACTAGGAAAAGGGTGCTCTTTACAAATGACTAACCCAAGTTCCCAGGCCAGATATGTATCCCATTAATCAGTAAATTAATCCACTGTCATTCGGGGTTCTAAGTAAGTCTCTTTCTGATTTTGGATTGGTGAGATTCATTTCTCTAGAGCCTGATCACTCCCGGCTAATGAAATCAAGTTTCTTCGGCTTCAAGGCTGAGGACCAGAACCTGGACCATGGTTCAAGCATACGATGAAGCCTAGCCTGAAACAACTAGGATGGCTTCGTTACTGCAGTCCTTCATCTTCACATCTCCTGCCTATTATATTGAAGTAGGATTATTCTCTTTTTTGGGGGGAGGAGGAGGAGGAGAAGGAGGGGACTTCTCATCTCTCCCAGGACCTCTCTCAAAATAGGATCTCCAATCTCAAGGCCTCATATTATCCTTCCTCCTGCCTTGTGTTCCTCTTCAAGAACTTTCTCCTTCTTCATGGTCTGGTTCCTTGTCCCAAAACCTATTTCCTCTCAAGGCATAATCTCTTCTCTCAGATGCTCTTGTCCTCTCCTAATTCTCGCTCTAGTCCTTCAGATCTTTGTCTCCTTTTCCAATTCCACCCCAAAGCATGTATACACATATACATATATACCTCTCCTCCTTCACTGACTATTAACTACTCATTCATTTTATGGCCTACTGTAGTGGCCCAGTATTTCCAAGGTCCTAGGATTTTTTCACTTGTCAAATTCCAGGTGAAGGCACCTCACTAAATTGAGAATGACTTCGGTGAGGGAGGGGGTTAGAGCAGAGGTATCAGACTCATGGCCCAACTCCTGAATTACAATGATAATAAAGTTAAAATGTAATTGGGAAATATTTAACAAAACAAATAAAAATACAATTTAACATATATAATGTTAATGTGTGGTTTTCTAAGTCAATATGCAGATCCATTTCTATTTGAGTTTGATACTGCTGAGAATCCCCAAATATCTTAATGGTGTTTAAGCTGAGACTGGAGGATCCCATAGTGTAATTATAATAATAATAATAGCAATGATAATAATTAATAGCTTACATCATAGATCTTTAAGACAACAAAGTGCTTTACTTACATATCTCATTTGATCCTTAACAACAACCCTGATAGGTAGGTATTATACTATTGTTAATTTATAGATGAAGAAACTGGATCTGAAAGATTAAGGGATTTTCCCAGGGTCCCAAAGTTAGTTAAGTGTCTTAGCTAGGATTTGAATCCAAATCCTCTTGACTCTAATTCCAGTATACTATCCTAGCTAAATGCTGCCTTACTTGTCATGATGTTTTAAGAGAAGGTGGGGCCTCCACCCACACGACACACTAACTAGATCCCATGCTCTGAAAGGTCCCTTCTAGCCCTAAAATTCTATGATCCTCCCTTTTTCTTATCTTTCTCCCTAATATTCTTTTCTCTCCCTTTTTTGTATCTTGCATCATCTCCTCTAGCCCCAACCTGCATTGACTGATTAATAATATGCTCCTATTACTTGAGAGTTGATGCCCCTCAAAGACTGGAAAGGTGTGAAACTAGCTTGACTGAGACATTCAGTATCTCTGTGAAACTTACCTGTGGGTATGGCGCAATGCCTGGCACTCTGTCCACAGTGAATAACACAAAGTCTTGACCTCCAGTAACTTAACACAGTGGAACTAGTGGGCCAGGAAAGGAAGGAGAATTTGGAAGAAAGGAAAAAAGAAGAGAAAGAGAGGAAAAGGAGAAGACAGTATGTTGTGGTTGAAATCATGCAGGATTTTACATAAAAAGGCCTAGGTTTGAATCTTGGCTCTGCCTCCTAACAGATATATGACTGAATAAATTCCTTCCCCCTCAATTTCTCCATTTGGTTCTCAGTTTCTTTATCTGTAAAACGAAGGGGGTTGGAATAAATAATCTCTAAGCTTCAGCTCCTATTAAACTAGGTTTGGGGATTAAAAAAAAAGAAGCAGGAATTGAGAGCATTCTGTTTGGAAGACATGGAGAAGAAAGGCGCTAAGGCATAAAACCCCCTGGGAGTCAGTATCAATAGCTCAGTTCAATTAAACAAGGGTTGATTACCCAGTCACATATTTATATAGGCTTTGGCTTTCCTCACAGCCCTGTAAAGTACGTAGCACAAATTTTCTTATTCCCACTTCACAGATGGGGAAACAGGCTCAGAAAGGTTATCAGTCACCTAAGGTCACACAGGTAGTAAGCAGTACTGTGAGGATTGCACACAGGTGTCTTTGTCCATTCCCTCTATGGCAACCACAGCCCTGAGCTCAGGTACCTGCGGCACATGACCCACTGGTACAGGACACTTAGAAGGTATGGTGTCAGGACCGAGGATGGCTGCAACCTGGGCAGGGGCAGAATGTAGTGGAATGAGCCCTGGAACAGAGTCTGGAAGACCTGGGCTCAAATCCTAATTCAGGCACTTATTAGCTGTGTGACTTTGGGCACGTCCCCTAATCTCTCTGAACCTGTTTCCTCTCCTATAAAATCAGAGGGATGGATTCGATGGACATTAAGGTATCTCCTCAGCTCTGATTCCATGAGCCTCTTACCTCTAAGGTTCCCTCCTCACATCTAAGTCCATGAGCCCCTGACCTCTAAGGTTCCCTCCTCACATCTAAGTCTATTATCCCATAAGATGGGAATCAAGATGCTCCAGCCCGCTGCACGTGTCAAAGTTTCTGCGCCTGCGCAGCAAGAGGGGCGCCGACTTAAGATGCCTCGGAACCTTTGTACGATGGCTTCGTTTCCCCTCCGGAAGCCTCTCCGTGGTGGACAAGCCCGGATCTGTCTCCTCTGCGCTCTGACAGAGGCACCGGAAGTGACCCGTCCTGGGCGCCGCCGCCGCCGGGAGGAGCTGCCACGTCCGAACCCGGGAGCCGCCGCCGCCGCTGCCGCCGCCATGGTAAGAGCCCTCTGCTCTGCGAGTCCAGCTGTGGGAGCCCCCGGCGCGGACCCGCGGTGGGGAGGAGGTGGTGAGGCGGGAGGCAGAGGCCGCTGCTTCCCTCACCCCACCCCCACCCCCCGGGACAGGGGGCTGGACGCCCCGCCGGGGTGTGAGGAGACCCGCGGGCCCTGCCCGGAGCCAGTGGGGCGACAGGCCCAGCCGACCTGGCTCCTGTCTCCGTCCGAGAACGAGGGCGGCTAGTGACCGACCCTCCATCCCGGGGCGGCGGGCCAAAGTCCCCTGACCCCTGCGCTGCTCCTGCTTGTTCCGGTGTAAACCGAGGGGTCTGGACGAGATAAGACGCCCGGGCCGCCCTGGTCACGCGGGTCAGTTTCCCCCACGGGTGGGGCAGAGACGTGGCTCTTCATCCATCCGTGAAGCACTTACTGCGGACCGGGCTTTGGGGCTGCGAAGACCCGAAGGAAACACCCCAGTTCGGGTCCTCAGAGGGCTTGAGGCCGCCCTGGAGAGGGAGCAAACGTGTCTCCAGTCCAGTAGAGGCGAAAACGTGCCCCGAGATTTCTGGGGGCGGGGTGGGGGGAATCGCGATAGGCCTCCGATAGGCGATGCGACAGTGGAGCTTTTAGCCCTCAAGCTAAGTCCGGGGCTTCTTCTATGAGAGCAGTCTAAGCACTTAAGGGGATGCTTCATAAATATGGTTTAAGATTCAGTAAATATCAATTAGACAGGGTGTCCCGAAAGTCTTAGTGCAACCTAAAGCTTTAATAACTTAAAACTACACCGAGACTTTTGGGACACCCTGTCTGGAACCCAAGTTGGAGCACATTACGTGATAAGGGAAAAATCACTTATAATGGAAAATAGAGGCACATGGTGCCCCGAAAATAACATGGAACTTGCGGTCCGGAGGCCTGGGTTCTAGTTGAGGCTTAACTCGGGGTGTGATCCTGAGCTGTCCAGCCTGGACTCTAAAGTCTAGCCCTAATCTGTGATTCTCTTCTTTAAGTCTTAAGTTCATTGCTTAGGCTCCATCTTTTTATGAGTGAGCCCTGCCTCGGGGTGTTTATCAAAGTCCAAACAAGTGATTGAACTAGGAAGCAAATCGTCTTTTAGACTCCGTGTACAAAATGCTCTGCTGATACCAAACCACGGTTCATCCCGAGGAATGTTGTACCTCTGAGGCTGGTTTCCCCCTGGGACTTTTAGTGGGAAAGTGGTTCTCTCTTCATTCAGCTACGCTGAAAGGTTAAGAATAAACTATGAACATCCATAATTTAACCTTAATAACTCATTGTGAGTCTTCCACTAATGTGGCTATATTTCAAATTGTATTTTTTTCCTTTAGAACTATTTTGATAATCAATCAATAAACATTTATTAAGTGCCTTTGTACCAGGTACTATGCTAAGTGCTGGGGATACAAAGAGGCAAAAGATGTACCCTCCCTTCAAGGAATTCAGTCTAATGGGGGAGACAACCTGCAAACAGCAAACCATATACAAAATAAATAAGAAATAATTAACAGAGGGGAGGCACTAGAATTAAGAGAGGTTTGGAGAAGAAATCTTAGTTGGGACTTAAAGCAAGCCAGGAAGGTCAGTAGTAAAAGCAGAGGAAGGAGAGCATTCCCACATGGGGGAATAGCCAGAAGAGAAAGCCCAGAGCCAAGACAATTCATCATATAGAATATCTATTTTATTTGTTCCATAGTTCCCTCTTGCAATCTTCAAGAGGTGTTCCCTAGTTCTGATTTTTTAAAATTTGGTGAACAAAAATATATTCACTCCATTCAGCTACTTGGTGCTATAATAGACTGCTTATATCCTACCCCTGTATCCAGTCCCTGCCTTCACTGTTCTCAAATAAAGAATACTAAATCTTGTAATATTTTTCTAGTGTATTTAAACAGGAAAAGTTGAAATGGATGAAGTTACAAGAAATATCCATATCATACCTAAATATATAATTTTGCTCTTTTCGTATAATTTTAATATTGGCTATACTTCATTGCTTCAGGTCTTCCTATTGGTAGTCCATTATTAGTAATAATTGCTATATACATAATACTTTGTGGTTACAAAGTGCTTTGCACAGTCCCTGCCCACAAAGAATTTGCAGGCAAGTGCAAAATCCCATTCAATTCAGGAAGCATTTATTAAGAACTTGCTGTGGGCCAGGTGTTCTGAACTAAGGATAAAAAGACAAAAAGGAAAAAAGTTGTTGCCCCCTTGGAACATACCTTATTTTGAAGGGAAGGGGAAACAGCATGCATGTAGGTAGGCAAATGTAAAACACAAAGTAATTACAAAATGAGGAGAATGCTGACAGCTACAGGCTGGCACACACATAAGGCACGATGTCACAAGCTCTATAAGAGACAAAAAGTGCCCTTGGAATTCAAAGGAGGCCAAGGTCCCTTTTGTTCTGTGAAGGTGACCAGAGAAGGCTGCCTAGAAGGGGTAGGATCTTCAGTTGGGCCTTGAATGATGGATGGAATTTACAAAGGCAGAAAACTATGGCACTAGCACCATAGCCCTACACACATCTTGAAGTCGTCATAATCCAAATGTGCTCTACAGACCATTTAGCACACAGATATGCTGCCAGTGTTAGATGGATGACTTCATTCAGTCAGAAATGTATGTTAAGTAGCAGCCCCAGGAGGATTGTGGCCCAAGATTGGAAAGTAAAGGAGGTCTAATCCAATTTGTACAGAAAGTGCTACAGAAGAAGTAGAAAGTGACCATAGACTATAATTGTTGATGTTTATATTGAGAAAATTTTGAAAGGATAGAGGACCATTAGATGGAAATAATGGATCAGATTCCTGAGGAGGTTGCTTTATAATTGCCATTATTAATTTAATGTAATCTTTGGTTTTAGGTGTCAGTCATTAACACTGTGGATACCTCCCATGAGGACATGATTGTGAGTATTCCGTTTAACAATTACTTAAAGCAAATCTGAAATTGACATTCCTGTGGGATGGCAGAGTTTTTATTTTTAATTATGCAGTTTTGATGTGTTAGTTTATGAATCAAAATGGGTTTTGGGGGTTTTTTTAGAATTTGCCAAACTCTAGTATTTAGCCATTAGATGACCACATCCTGCCTTTCTTAGAGTAACAGGTCCTCTTCAGAAATGCTCCCATTGTTTGAGAGGCTGTAGTATCAGCATAGAGTAGGAGGCCATAACCCTTTTCATGTCATGGTCCCTTTTGGCAGCAATCTGGTAAAGAAGCATAGGGACCCCTTCTCAAAATAATGCTTTTAAATGCATAAAATAAAATATGCAAGATTACAAAGGAAGCCAGTTTTACTGAATTATAGTTGAATGCTTAGAGATCCCAGGTTAAGAAATCCTGGTATAGACGCAGGTGTTACTTTCCATCCTGATGTTCAGCAGCTTTTTCTTTTGGGCCACACAGTGATTGGCAGCTGGCTTTTCTTTTTCTAAACCTTCTGCTGAAAGTATTTCACATCCTGGGTTGTTTTGTTGGCTGTGATGCTGCCTCTTCAGGGTCTCCAAAGGCTATAATGCAATTGTTAGAAAAGAGAAGATATAGTCCTGAGACTTCGAGATCCAGATTTGGCCAGAACCTGAGGGAAATAAAGGGTTGGACCTTGATCTCCTAGAGGAATCTGAATACTTTCCTTGAATAGTTCAGTAACGTCCTATGGTCCAGCTTTGATAGGAAATTGGAAAGTAAATGACTGGGGCAGTATGTTAGTATAAAATAAATAAGCTCAATTAGTCTAATAAAGCTAGTTATTACAGGTAGCAGAGAGTTGCTTGAAATTCCTATGGTACAAGTCAACAGCGCAGCCAGTGCATATGGTAAAGGTGTCTGAAATATTTTGTGGGAAAGGAACAACAAAGGTTTTTGAGTGGTTAAGATTGTGGGAAGAAGGAGTAAAAGAACGGTTCTAGCCTGCCTTTCAGATTCAGTAACCTTTTATTATGCATTTCGAATTTATTTCCTGTGTGCTAGATATAGACATTAAGGATACAGAAGTGAATAAGACAAGGTCTCTCTGCCCTCCAGGAGCTTACCTATGGTGGGGTTACAATACACACTAAGAAAATGCATCTATGTGTTCAGTTGACAAGGTGTAAAGGGACTTTAAGTATTTAATACTAGCTGTGTCTTTAACTTATTTTCTCACTTTAAAAAGAACGTTTTATATTGGAGAACACAATTTATAATCTTCATGTAGTATAAACTGACTTTTGTAGTATAAATCTGAATTTCTTCAGATTTCTCTGGGACTAAATTGGCTTGAACAGTGTTTTTATTTTTTTCAAATTTAAAATCTCTGCCTTAGTAACAATGGGTGTGAACCTCCAGAGTCTACAAATCTCCTGATTTCTCTGTTCCCTATTCAGCATGATGCCCAGATGGACTATTATGGCACCCGTTTGGCCACCTGCTCGTCAGATAGATCTGTCAAAATCTTTGATGTGCGGAATGGGGGTCAGATTCTCATTGCTGACCTGAGGGGGTGAGTATATCGAACACTGAGAAAATTCTGGGGGAAAAAAAAAAGATTTTGCTGCTCAGATATTATATAATAGACTTTGGAAAATGAAATAACAATCTAGACTTGATCAGATCTTATGTGTTTATCAGAGAGGATGGAGAGGAAGCCATTATCCTACAGAGCATATCTCTGCTGTTAAAAGCCTTGTTTTGCCGTAAGTGATTCCAGCATTAGCTGAAGCTCTTTAAAGGAAATGGCTTCATTGGAATAATATCCATAATCCCATTAATTCCCCTGATTCCTAAAGCAGGAGTTAATCAGTTGGGGAAAATGAGGCATAAGGAGATTAGATAATGTGCTCTCAGACAGTTGAAGAGGGGAAAGAGGAGGGGTCTTGGTTTCCCAAATTGTAACTGAAATGCTAAGTTCAGTATTTTTCAAAAATACAAGCAAAACAAAGAAGTACCATCAATAGATTGCTAGGACCACATCTTGTAAATTCTCTACTCCTCCCTTCATTGAATTGTATGCCTGTACTTAGGAAAGCGTCAACAGTAATTCTTCCATATTCAGTCCAGCACCAATAGGAGCATCAAAGGTAGTAGAAATCAATCTAGTCATAGTTTAATTACCAGTTCTTTTACTGTGGCTCAGGTCAAGCTATTAGCCCAGTAAACCCAAGGGGAGAACAGCTGCTTGAGATTTGAAACCCTCTCTGGTACAGGAGAAAGTAGAGACTGATGATGATGAAGTTAGCCTCTCTTTGGGCCAAAGCAGTGGAGCCCATGAAACATTGTGGCAATCCAGCTCAATAAGACACGTACAAAGGTACAAAGACAGAAATGAAACAGTCTACCTGAGAGGGCTTTAGACACAACATATATGCTGATAAGTAAAGACAGGACAGAAGAGGGAGAGAGCACTAACAAGCAGGAGGGTTGGAGAAGGCTTCACAGAGAAGACACCTGGAATGAGGCTGGAAGGTTCTAAGGAGCAGAGATGAGGGCAGATTGTATCCCAGACATCAGAGACAGCCTTCTGTGCAAAGGCATGGCATGGAAACAGGGTATTATACCAAGTTCAGTGAACAGAAAGTTGCTCAGGAACATCTCTCCTATGGAGGGAAGTAATATGAAAAAAGGCTGCCATCTATTGGAGCCAAATTGTAGAAGACCATAAATGCCAGGGCCAGGAGATTACATTTTATCCAAGATGGAAAGCCACTGAAGATTTTTAAATAAGTGAGTAGCATGGTCAGACCTCAGGAATATGATTTTGCCAGCTGTGTATAGGATGAGTTGGAGAGGAGAGAGACTGAAAACAGATGCCAGTTGGGAGATTGTTATTATTATGGGCCAGGTAAGAAGTGATGAGAGCCTTATTAGGGTGGAGAGAAGGGGATAGATAGGAAAGGTATGGAATAGAGTGGACAAGACCTTGCAACCAGTTAGATATGTAGGGAGAAGGAATAAGGGAGAGAAAGAATCATGGATGATACAAGTTACAAACCTGGGATTCTAGGAGAATGGCGTGACTGCTTTGTTGTACCTCTGCCTTCTGGGAAGCAAGAAACATGGATTTTAGTCCCAGCTCTACCCCGTACTACCTGTGTGAGATCTTGAGCAAGTCAGCATAATTTTGGGCTTCTGTCTCCTCATCTGTAAATTAAAGGGTTCCTTTAATCAGTGGTTCCTAGCCTCTTTTAAGCAGACACATCAGATCATAGATTTAGAATTCAAAGGTCATCTAAGCCAAATCCCCTCCCATTTAATAGATGAGGAAAACTGAGGTCAAGAGAGGATCCAGGGCCTCTGATTCTTAGTCCCTTGCTTCTTGCCCTTTGCCACACTACCTCAAAACCCATTTATAACTTTAAAAAATGTTGCACCCCCTCATATGGTAGTTATACTGTTAGTGTTCAGTGAGGCTTCTATTAATTTGGTAATACTTTAAAATTAATTCCTATTTTATTAATTATAATAGCATCTACATATATCTGAAAAACTCATTATCCATAATGTTTATTTTGTTGGGGCTAAGAATAAATAATACTCAAATCTGGCCTCAGACACTTGACAATTACTAGCTGTGTGACCCTGGGCAAGTCACTTAACCCCATTGCCTAGCCAAAAAAAAAAAAAAGAATAAATAGTACTCGATTCACATCTGAATCCATAGGTCAGAAACCATGGGCAAGATTATCCCTAGAGCCCCTTCTAGCTCTGAATGCTATGATTCTACCTAGCAATGGACATTTTGGGAAAAGCCGTTGTTTCTGTCATTACCTGAGCAGTTTTGTCCTTAGATATTGTCTCAGCCGATAATAGAGCTATGGAATAGAGCTGGCTAGTCTAATCCACCCCTGGCCCACCCCCATACTACAGGTTAGGAAACTAAGTCTCCAAGAGCAGAAGGGCTTCCCTGGGGTTACAGGGGCAGGATTCCTGTGGGGTACAGTGGAAAGAGTGCTGCCTGAGTTCAGAACGGCAGCACCTAGATTCAGAGCCCAGCTTTTTGGTGACCTTGGGCGAGGAGCTGAATGAACCTCATTGGGCCTTAGCTTCCTCATCGGTAAGATGAAGGGGTTGGGCTAGACAGCTTCTAAGGTCCTTTCCAGCCTTAAAACTGTGATCCTAATGCAGTGTTCTTTCCTGCTAAACTGCGCACCTCAGGAAGCCGTTTTCAAATCTGTCTGTGTTTGTGAACCCAAAACTTTGTGTGACACATTCCCAAACCCTTATTTGGCAGTTTAGAAATCTTTGGGCTTTCTTACAGTCATGAAGGCCCCGTGTGGCAAGTGGCCTGGGCTCATCCTATGTATGGAAACATCTTAGCCTCCTGCTCCTATGACCGGAAAGTCATCATCTGGAAAGAAGAAAATGGCACGTGGGAAAAAACATATGAGTACACGGGACATGACTCTTCAGGTATGACATGGTCTGATGAGAAAGTACTCATTAAGAAGTATGTAATTATGTGACATTCATATGTCTGAAACATTGCTCTTCCTCCAGCCCCTCATCTTGATTTTCTCTTTTTACTCACATGTTTCCCTCTTGCTGGCATTTGGTTGCCTTCTCTCTATCTGTCCCATTGCTAGAAAAACTTCCCATTCCTCAGCTCCTCCTAATGCCTAGAACCCTTCCTGCTTCTGTCTCCTTTGTGGGACACTCTTCTTTCCTCACTGTCGATGTTTTTCCAACAGTGAACTCGGTGTGCTGGGCCCCCCACGACTACGGGCTCCTTCTTGCCTGTGGCAGCTCTGACGGGGCCATCTCCCTGCTGAGCTACGGTGGCGAGGGGCAGTGGGAGGTGAAGAAGATCAACAATGCCCACACCGTAAGTCCTGTGCATTCGGGCGGTGGTTTCATTACAGGCAGTTTCAAGCAGTTTGCAGTTCTTGCCCCTCCAGAATAGTAGGGGGCAACCCAGATCCTAGAGAAATAATTGACCTAACCCAAGGTCAGCCTTGTCCTTAGCGGAAAGAGATGTCATTTTTTCACACTAAGCTTATCCAGGAGACTGAGGGTATCAGGTGCCAACTTGATAAAAATTTGTCGTTCTTGCATGCTGGAGGAGGTAGGGAGGCATAGTACCCATTATAGGCTGGGTGGCATATGGTGCTGACTTGCCTGGGTTGTGAAGATCAGTTAATACCGCTCTCCTCAGTGGCAGGGGCGGGGATGTGGCAGTAGCTACTCATCCATGGGGCATCTTTAAAGCGCTGCCATAGGCTGGCAACCTCAAGTGCATCATTTGGCCATGACAGTCTTGGGGAATTCGTTTCCCTCTACTCCAGAGCATTAAAACTAAAGCAAGCAAGCAAGTGAATAGCTTTTTTTTTTCTTTTTTATATGTTTTATTAATGTTTTTTTTATACACCACAGTGACTCTGCTGTCCTTCTCCCCAGCCCTCATAGAACTTTTCCTTTTAACAAATACATACGTTTGAGAAAAACAAATCCACACATTGGCCACATTTGAAAATTTTTCCTCATTCTATACATATGGCCACCATCTTTCTGTGAAAAAGTAGGAAGAGTGATGCTTCATCATCAGTCTTCTGAAGTCACAATAGTTCACTGCATTGATCAAACTTCTGAAATCAAAAGAGGTGCTGTTAACTGTTTCTGTATAGATGAAACTTCTCCCTCCGTCTTTGACTTTGTAGGAATAGATGTGTGGTCCTGGTAAGAAAGTGCCGACATACTTGAGTATGTACACTTGAATAACTTTTTTGGTGTAATTGTAGATTTTTTTTCCGTAATGATTGGACCAGTTTACAGTGAGGCCTGTCTTTCCACAGCCTCACCAAAATTTACCATTCTGATCTTTGTCATCTTTGCCAATCAGATGGGAAGTCAGTGAAGCCTCAGGGTTGTTGTCATTCTCGTTTCTCTTTAAATTGTTGATTTGATGCGATCCTGCGTAAGGTTGTTGAGTTTGTATTTCTTCTTTTGAAAACGGCCTGTTCATGACCTTTGATCACTGTCCAGGGAGTAATAGGCCATAAAGCTAGTGAAAGACAAGGAGAATGGAACGTGTCAGTTCCAGATTTTCATTACCCCAAATACAACTAATATCAGCTTAGCTGAAATCTCAAAGCAGGTGGCTAAAAGCGTAGACAGTTTCTTTGCCGATTCCTAAATCTACTTCAAGCCTTGCTTGTATATAAAAGAGCCCTGGGAGTCTTGCTATCAGGGCTTGGCCATTTCTTCTCTTCTGAGTAGTCCATTTAGAAAATTCTAGCGAGCCCAGGATAAATTTTCCCTATGCTTTGACTCCCTCTCCACCTCCTTTAGAATCCCTAGCTTAACTCCAGACTTAACTCAGGTGCCACTTCCTACAGGAAGCCTTTCCTGATCCCCCTCGTTGTTTGTGCTCTCTCCTTCCTTAGCCACTCTGTTGAGGTGTAGTACCTAAGCTACCTGGGGGTGGGGCCTGTTTTTATTTTTGTCTTTATGTCTGTAGCCCCCACCACAGTGCCTTGTACAGTAATAGGCGCTGAATAAATGCTCATTGTGTTGGATGACCTCGTATAACTGGCTTCTGGAATTTCAGGAAAGCCTGTGCCCTGCATCTTCCTCATAGAGTAGCTACTCTTTCCTTGCAAGTGAACCTGTCCTGTTAATCTGTGGCGTAGAAAGCCAAGGAGCATCTTGCTTCCTTCTCTGTTCAGATTGGCTGCAATGCTGTGAGCTGGGCTCCTGCCGTCGTACCCGGGAGCCTGGTAGACCAGCCATCTGGACAGAAGCCAAACTACATCAAGAAGTTTGCCTCGGGCGGCTGTGACAACCTGATCAAGCTGTGGAAGTAGGTGGGCCCTCTGGGGGATGTGGGCCTTTGGGTTGCCTTAGAGATAGAGTCCTTGCTGCTCCCCCAGACTCACGTTAAACAAGGCTGGCTCCTTTGCCTCTTCCTTGTGTCTCCAGAGTATCTTCCCTCACAGCCTTCACTGTGTCAGGGAGTTCTGAAACTGATCTCTCTTCATCATCGTGGACGTTTGGTAATAGTCAGCCCTTTATTGTTCAGCTGGAGTCCCACCCTCAGGATACATGGGGGCAAGTGAACTGTCCTTGGAGGCAACCTTTTTACAGGGTACAGTTAGTCATATTAAGTAGATTTCAACAGACTGAGAGGAAAAAAAATCTAAATAATAAAAATATAATCTGTATATCTCTTTAAGGATTGCAGAGTGCTTTATATGTGATAGCTCGTTTGAGCCTCACAACCACCTTATAAGGTAGATGTCCTTACTGTCCACATTTTACAGATGACAAAACTGAGGCAGACAGGTCAGATGACTCGCCCAGAGTCATTGGATGTCAGATTCAGGATTTGGACTCATGTCTCCCTGAGATTCAGATCCAGTGTTCTTATCTACTGGGCTACCTTGATGCAAAAAAGAATAAAGAACTCGCCATCCCCCAAGTGGATACTCAGAATTCAGTTTGTGGTGTATTGGTCTGAGGAAAATTCCCATTGTCCAGACAGCCCAGTACTGAGGATCATCATTGTTCACTTAGAAAAAAGACAGCCGGCTATGAGCTGCTTTCCTCCCTTTCTTGTCTGTCTGCTCTTTAGGGAGGAGGAGGATGGTCAGTGGAAAGAGGATCAGAAGCTGGAAGCCCACAGTGACTGGGTCCGAGATGTTGCCTGGGCCCCCTCTATCGGCCTGCCGACAAGCACCATTGCCAGCTGCTCCCAGGTGAGCCCCAGTGTACGAAGAAGGGTGGCCAAGTGATTAGTCTTTGAGGTGACAGACGGGATAATCGGACAAAGGTGTGGCCTCATCCTTTGTGAGACACACTTCGGAGAATCACCATGAACCAGAGACAGGAATTGTCCAGCTTTGGAGGCCAAAGATAATAGGGACACCAGAGAGCAGGCTTCAGTCTGCTGGGGAAAACGACCAGTTAACAAAACCAGCAGCAGCTGCGTGACAGATATGAAAATGGCAGTGTCTTCAGTGATTGTTAACCTTGCTGCTAGAGACATGGTCAGCCATAGTCAGTGCTTCCTCTAGAACGTAGAGTAAATGTGTTGTTTCTTTTTTGTCCTTTCTTTTCTCGTCCTCAGTTTGAAATGAAGTACACATCTCATTTCTGTCTTTGTATCCTTGGTGTCTGCCCAGTGCATGTAGTAGACACCTAATAAATGCTTGTTGGTTGATCTAGACAGTTAAAACTCAGTCAACTGGGGAAATTCTCATGAAAAATTATCAAAGAGAGTAGAAGAGATTTAGCAAATACGGGAGGGTAGATTTGTCCAAGTCTTTGGTCTGTACAAACTTAGAGTTAGCAGAATGGACCAAGGAAAAGTGGAGTCACTAGAACAAAGGAAAAAATAGGGTAATCAGAGAAAGTAAGCTCTTGTAACCCCATCTGAAGGGAGAGCTTTCTTTGGGGCAGTGGGAGGGAGGTTGGACCTGGAGCCTAAGAGCAAAAAAGTCTAATTTGGTGGTGTGAAAACTTCCCCATTTTCATTATGTGAAACTGATTTGGAGTATGGACATAAAAGGTTGTGTTTTGTTTCCTATCCTTTTAAATTTAAGTTCCTAAGGAAAGTGAGGCAATAACCCCAGGGAAAGCCTTTGCTCGTCATACTATGAGGGGTACAGACACCCAGCAGAGACCTCCTAAAGGTTTCCACTGTCCACTGAGCCCCATGACTGCACTTTTTTCTAGGATGGTCGAGTGTTCATCTGGACCTGCGATGATGCTTCTGGAAACACATGGTCTCCCAGATTACTGCACAAGTTCAATGATGTTGTGTGGCATGTAAGCTGGTCTATCACTGCCAACATCCTAGCTGTTTCAGGAGGAGACAACAAAGTAAGTGTTACCTTTCATTTGAAACCCTTCAGCTCTTGGAATGAGAAGCCTCACAATTGGGGGATAGGGAGACATCAGAAATCTTTTCAAAATAAAGTTATTGATGCCTTTTGTTTTACATCACAGTCATTTCACAATCCTACACACACACATAAATATGCCGCATTCTGCACCCAATGTCATCTCCTGCCAACACCCACACCTAGCACCCATGGAAGGAGAGAGGTCCAAGATTGGTCATTATACCTACCCAGAGTCTGGCTTCCTTTGAGTATTGTCACAGTGTATATTGTTCTCCCTTTTCTGCTTACCTCGTTCTGTCTCAGTTCATATAAGCCTTCCCATATTTCTCTGAATTCTGCATATTTGCCATTTCTTATGGCACAATAATATTCCATTATACCACTTATCAGTTCAACCATGTAATCAGTGAGCGCCCACTTTGTTTCTGGGTTTTTTGGTTGTTTTTTTTTGTTTTTGTTTTTTTGCTACCACAAAAAAACTGCTACGGTGAATGTTTTGGTCTATATGAGGCCTTTCTGTCTTTGAGCTTCTTGGAGAATATGCACAGCATGGGATCTGTAGATCAAAAGGTCTAAACAATTTAGACACTTCCTTTCATTATCCTGAATATGTTCCAGAATGATTAGACCAAAGCACAGCTCCACTGATAATGTTTTATAGTTGCCTACCTTCCTCCAGCCCCTCCTGCATTAGCTATTTCCATCTTGTCATCCTGATTTGCATTCAAAAAAGATTTTGAACATACAAAAACCTAAATGGAAGTTAATGTCTTCTTCTTCCCAGAATGAATGATCTGTGTTTTGACCACTAGAGGGTAGCATTGGTCTTCTTCCGATCAAGATTTGACTTGCTTATTCTGTTAGCTTGGGAGCAGGAGAGGGGGAGAGTAGGAAGGGGCGGGGCACATATGACCAGTTTTCATCTTACACAAGGCAATGATTTTTCAACTCAGTTTTGAAAAAAAAGAAAAGGAAAGAAAGAAACCACCAGGGAGGAGAAGGGTAGGATTTTTTTAAATGAGTTTTAGAATTTTTAAAATGTTCCCAAACACTAAGAAGGCAAATTTTTATATTGATTAAAGTCTTAATTGAGCACATCCTTTGTACCCAAGGTATTATGATATATGCGATGTGTCATGCTTCCTGCCCACCAAAGCTCATATGTACGTGAAGCAATTAGATTAACACAGGACAGGCTGTGATTTGGTGCTAGCATGTGTGCTGCTGATGGGCCTCTCGAGATCTGCACAGCGTGATATCTCTGCAGGCCAGAAAAATTGGGGCAGGTTTGCGGAAGAACTAGGTCTTCAAGTGGGCCAAACCTCAGAAGCAGGGTGACGTCTGTTACAGAAACCGGCTGCTAAAAAAGTATGGGAACATTCATCTTAAAAACCAAGTGATCTTTTACAGTACGTTTTGTTGGGGACAAGTTATTTTTAAAAATCTGCCTCCTCTAAGGCCTTGCCCTCCTGGACCTCTGTAGCATCTGACACTGCTGACCATGCCCTCCTGGGGATGGCCTCTCTACCTGGGGCTTTATAAACGCCACTCTCCCTTGGCTGTCCTCCTGCCTCTCATGCTTGGTCCTTCTCTTTTTACAAGGTGGGTGTGTCTTCACACTCTGTCCTTGGCCTCCTCCCCCTCTTGTCACTTTCCAGCCCCCCATTAGATCGTGAGGCCCATGAAGAGTGGGAAGTGGCAGTGGCTTGTGTTTGTGTCCCTGGCACTTAGCACAGGGCTTCGTGCGTAATCTCTCCCTGGTGGTCGTATCAGCTCTCATGGCCCGCAAATGATCCTACTCCTGGGCAGCCGTGGCTTCTCTCTTGAGCTCGCACCATCCATCTCTACCATGAGGATCTCAGGCTCATTATCTCTCCTTCTTTGTTTTGGACACTGGTGCTCCCTGTAGTCACGCCCCGGTTGTTCCCATTCCCTTTCTTCTCTCATGGTTCTCGCTGGTTCTGTGTCAGACGGTCGAGGCGTCTCCCCTCAACTCCTCTCCCCAGGACAAGCCTTCAGCACCACAAGCCTGGACAGCTGCTTTTGCCCCCTCCAGAGCCTCCCTGGCTCCCTTCTGTCCCTGGCTTCAGTCCATCTTTCATGCCACCTGGTATAGGTTGAGTTAGTCTGCGGACACTCCAAGCTTCGGGCTAGAGCTGGACAGACCTTTGTCTGTGGACAGCCTTTGCGGGTAACTTCATGAAGTCATACAAGCATTTATTAAGCCACTTATGTGTACTAGACGCTGTCCCTGGGGACACAAAGATGGAAACAGGTGCAGGATTACTAAGTAGGAGGAGGGCTGGGAGAACACACGCCCTAGGTTTCAGGAGGGCGTCATTGTGAAACATTGTTTTCCTGGTTCTGCTTCCTTCCCTGTGCATGCGTTCCTGCATGTGCTGGATTCAATTCAGCAAGCGTGGATCAGGTACTAGTGTGTGCACAGATTTGAGCTGAGGAAACAGACAAAAAGCTGGCAGAACCTGTTGTCAGGGGTGGGGGGCAGAAGAAGCAGCATTTCCCCAGTTGAGTAAATACAAAACCTCAAAAGTCACTTTAGAAGGAAGAGCATTAACAAGTAGAGGAAGCAGGAAAGGCCTCCAGGAGCTGGTAGCTCTTTAACTGAGCCTTACAGGGAGCCAGGGATCCCAGAAGGTGCCAGGGAGGGAGGAAAAAGAGACTTGAACAAAAAGCACAGAAAAGAGCAGGTGCCCAGCCCAGCTGCACCATGGTGGGGCGGTGGGGGGGAGGACATTTCCTAAGCCTGGGGCGGTAGGCGGCTGGAGCCTGGCCGCCGGGGCTTTTAGATGCCCAACAGAAGAGTCCATCTCGTGTCCGAGAGACAAGAGGGAGCCTCTGGAGCGGCTGCAGTGGGTGACGTGGTCAGACCTGTGCCGAAGGAATTTCAGGTTGATGGAGAATGGATGGGGGAGGGCAGAAAGTTGTGGCAAGAGAAAGGAGGTGATAGCAATAATCCAGAGAAAATGTGCTAAGGGCCTTAGCTTGCAGGTGGCTGGAGAGCACATGGACATGAAACGTGCTTTAGAGGCAAGATCGACAGAACTTGGCAACTGATGGGAAAGGGGATAAGTCAGGGGGCTGAGCACTTGTGAGCCTGGGGAACAAAGCGATGACAGGGCCCATAACGAGAGAGGTAGGAGCTTAGGGGCAAAGCTCTTTGAGTGAAACAAGACATACTTGTGTGAAAAGCTAAATAACGGACCTTATCAGTCAGCATCAAGGGCTCCATAAACTTTTTTTCAGTATTTTGATAAGTATTTCAATATAGTTGGTTTCTGTGTATTTTTATGAATTTAAAAACAGTATTCTAACAAAGAAGTCCATGATGCAGGAAAGGTTAAGAACTCCTGAACTTGATGGTGTAGTGCAGGTCCTTTCTGAGCTTTACATTCTCTGCCTCACAGATCATCAAGCACTCTATGATATGCTAAATAAGTTATTTTAATGGTCATCTTTTTTTAGCCCCCTTTACTTGCCTGTTGATCCCTCTCATAGATGCGAAACATCCCAGTCTATAAAGAACTGAACAAACTCCCCCTAGGAAAGTGATCCAGAAAATAAATGCTATGCACTCATAACAAGGAAAGATAATTGGTCAGAAAAACCTTTGTGAGAAAAGTATAAACTAAACCTTCCTGTTCCCAGAGAAGGAGTTTTCATGGCAACCTGAACTTAGCAGATTAAAATGCAATTGGGAAATATTTGACAAAATAAATATACAGCAAAACATATTGTGAATAGATGGTTCTCTTACTCAACGTGCAGCCCACGGGGATCCATCTGTGTGGTGTCGTGGCCCCTGTGCCTCTTTGACACTGCTGCTCTAGGTCACTTCCCTCCCACTAAGTAGAAAAAGGAACAGAAACCTTAGATTGCATTTCTTTGTGATTAAAATAAGTTATTTTGAAAAATCTCTAGTTTCCTTATTTTCTTTACTTCCTCTACCAAATGGATCCCAGACCCTGAATTCATACTTTGTTGTGCCATGTGGTGCTTATCCTTGTTTTCCAAAAAAAAATGCCCTACTAGAGAACCAGCCAGAGCCAGAGGCATCCCTCGGGTCCTTGCCAGTCTAGGCGAGGACAGAGTGGCACTGGTTCTTCAGCATGGTCTTTGTGTTCATGTCCGCAGACTCATGCTCACTGTGCCTCTTTCTTCGCCCCTGTTATTTGTCATGGGTTTGATAGAAGGAAAAACTTGGTGACAATTAGAACTCTTGGAAAGAGGAATGGCCTGCCTCTTGCAGTAAAGACTACTGGTCAGGCATGCTGTACAACTGTGGGTTGGATTAGATGGACGCAGGGCCTTTCTCCCCTGGAAGTTACATGAGGCTGCGGTTTTCCTCAATTTATGATCAGATAGTGTTACCAAAAGTGTATTTGTTTTAAAGAAATGGACTTTTGCAACAGTGAGCTGTTTGTAATTGAGCATTGTATCATTTTCTAAATCCAATACATCCCTCTGCCATTCATTATACATCTGAAACCCTCCTTTAAGATGAAGAGTGGGGATTTGAGGTGAGAGCAGAGGGGCTGAACCATGCCTATTACTTCATCAACATGGGGAAACTCCCACCAAAGCAGATGGGCCCTTCCCCGAGGTAGAAAGTTGCCCAAGGCCCTGAGGAGTTATGGGACTTGCCAGTGCTTCTACAGCCAGTATGTGGCCAAGATAGGACTAGAGCCAGGTCTTCTGACTGAGGGAAGTGGAGAGACCCACTCCCTCCCCACTACCCTGGGCAGATGTCCTTAACATGCTCGATGCCAGGAGAAGTAAAGAGCTTAGAGGAGACAGTCTCCACCTTCCTGTAACTTACAGTCTGGTTAAGGGGTCAGCACTAGCTACCTCACAAGTTGATTGTCAGAACCAGATGAGATAGTGTGTATAAAGTAGGGATTAAGCATTTGTGTTACACCTACTGTGTGCCAGGCACTGCGCTAAGCACTTTTACCAATACTTTCTCACTTGATCTTCACAATAGCCCTGTAGGGTAGGTGCTATTTTGATCTCCATTTTATAGATGAGGAAACTGAGGCAGACAGAGGTTTAGTGACTTGCCAAGGATCACACAGCTAGCGAGTGTCTGAGGCTGGATTTGAACTTAGGGCATCTTGACTCCAGGCCCAGGACTCTAGCCACTGTGTCTCGCTTTAAACTTTAAAGCGTTATGTGTCAGCTATTGTTATATTTTTATATATTAAACATAATATATATTTTATATACTTACTAAGCAATGTCATCATCTAAGTAATATGCTTTCTTTTTTTCCATTGTGGATAGTTAAACCTGTATCTTTCAAATTACTCTGTTTCACTGAAGCAGCTTTGTAATGTGCCAGGTAGTGCGGCATCATCTGTAAAGAGGAGGAACCTTTAAGAAGCTTGCCATCATCAGTAGAGTCCTCTTCTTGGCCATTACATGCAGCTCATTATCAATCTGAAGCCCTGCAGCTGGAGGGTCCAACCCCTCCCCCTCTCATAAAACACCCTCCGTGACATGTTTGGAACACTGAGCTTTCTGTTTAATGCATTCACTCAGTACTTAGCAGAGCATTGGACAGAACCATTTCTGTACTTGTATCCCTCATGACATCTTAAAGAGTTTTGACATACATATGAGACACATCTTGTCTGAAGAGAATCGTCAAAGCTCCATTTTTTTTATTAATTTATTTTGATTTATCAACAATCACTTCCATAAGTTTTTGAGTTTTAAATTTTTCTCTACCACCCTCCCCAAGATGGCACGCAATCTGACATAGGCTATACATATACATTCCTATTAAACATATTTTCAAATTAGTGGTGTTGTAAGAAAGAATTAGAACCAAAAGAAGTAACCACCAGAAAGAAGAAACAAAATACATCAGAAGAAAAAAAATAGCAAATAGTATGCTTCAATCTACATTCAAACTCCATAGTTCTTTCTTTGGATGTAGATAGCATTTTCCAGCTTAAGGCCTTTACAGATATCTTAGATCCTTGCATTGCTGAGAAGGGCTAAGTCTATCAATGTTAGTCATCACACAATGTGACTTACTGTGTACAACGTTCTCCTGGTCCTGCTCACTTCACTCAGCATCTGACCATACAAATCTTTCCAGGTTTTTCTGAAGTCAACCTATTCATCATTTCTTACAGCACAATAGTATTCCATTACATTCATATATCACAACCTGTTCAGCCATTCCCCAGTTGATGGACATCCCTTCAATTTCCAATTCTTGGCCACCACAAAAAGCTGTCAAGGCTGCATTTTGAATGGTTTTTTAAAACTCTTTACCTTATGATAATGAAACCTTTTGCTTTCAGGTTACTCTGTGGAAGGAATCAGTTGATGGACAGTGGATGTGTATCAGTGATGTCAACAAAGGCCAAGGTTCAGTGTCTGCAATCACAGAAGGCCAACAAAATGAGCAGTGACCACATCAGTGCCAGCAGGGCAGACCCACCGAGGAATCAGCCAGCCATGGAGCTGGAGGACAGCTGTCTGCGGCCAGGACCTCTGGAACTGCTACATCTGGGTCAGCTGATGAACAGGTTTTTCCCAAACTGGGAAGGGAAATGAGATGATTCCGAATTCAATAAGATCACGTGTTCCTACAAATAGATGCAACCACAGTATTGATCATCTGCCTTAAAATGATTCGATATGGTCTCTAAGTTAACCTGACTGGTTCAGAACGTTTAGAGTTTAAGAAAAATTATTACAAATGGTCTTCAAAGTTGTTCATTTTAAGATATTTTTTTTAGCCGCTACTTTTGTGTACCCCTTGAATTTGGGGTTTGTGTTGGGGGTGGGGTTGTTTTCAAAATAATTGAATAAAGTCAATAATTCTTTATTTTTGGTTATCAGTGTAGATTTTACAAAAGATTTCCACATCCAGCATCTTTTTGGGGATTCTCATTTCTGTTATTAGAGGTGAGGAATTAGAGCTCAAGGAGATAAAGTGCTTTGCCTGAGGTCTCACAGTAAGGAAACATGAGGATCCAGAAGCAGGTCTTCCTATCCTTAAATCCCGTGCTCTTTCCCATGTACTGCGCTGCCCCTAATGTCCTGATCTCAAGAGGAGAGGACAGAGTCACTCTCTTGAGCCTTTTTAAGGACATTTCATCTATTGTCATTCTCTCCTTGCTCCTCCAAGAGGATGCACCACCCCCACCACCTACCCCAGAAGCATGGGGTGTAGGATGATAACTCCACTTTGCTGTGTCCTAGAGTCGGTCAAAAACCGTGAGCTAGCCATGTATTGGTAGAGCCACTTATTTGATCCAGCCCTGTGCTTGGTGCTCAGTGGGATACAGGAGGATAAAACCTGTTCCTTGGCTTTGAGAACATCATAATCTAGCCATTAAATCATAACCCATGTAATAACTCACACTTAGGAAATGCTTTGAAGTTATTAAATGTCTTGTAAGGTCAGTGTAATTTCCCTCAATGATCCTTTGCAAATAATTATCTCCATTTTACAGATAAGGAAACTGAGGCTTAGCAACTTGCCCATGGTCACATTGCTAATAAGTGAAGGAGATTGATTAGAACCCAGTACTTCTGACTCTAAGGCAGGTCTTTCTACTACAACACAGATGCTTCCTAAGTGGTCATAATAAAAGCAGAGTTTTTCCCATTGTAAATAAGGGCCGGAGGGAACCAACATCATCTGCCTACGTCTACATCTATACCTACCAGCTCTGAGTTAGTGCCCCTGACAGCCACGCGGCCAGAGCACGGGCATGAGCTGTTGTGAAGGGGCAGAGGGGCCCCAGCGTGTTCTCCAGGCCCCCTGTGCTGACGCCTTCCATTGGAATCTTGGGATTGTTCTGGGGGCTCGGAGGCAGCCAGCAGGAGAGCTCGCTGGGGCCAGCTGTTCACTCGCTTCCCGACTTGTTTTCCACTCGAATCCTCTGGTGTCTGATGCTGCCGAAGTCATCCTGGTTTCTCCAGAACCATGCATCAGAATGTAACATCTGGCAGGCCCACCCGGCTGAGAAGGCCCCCATTACAGGCCCGACAAGAGCAGCTGCCATAGAGGAACCAGCCTTCCTAGCTAGGAGGAGAGGAGGCTCTGGTCCCCATCAGTGGAGGCAGCAGCCAATGAAATGGTAGATCTTTTGAAGTATTTTATACACTTCAGTCTATAGTACAAAGTGAATTGAACCAATCTGAAATTACTCCCAATCTATCCCACTTCCCACAAGTTAGGTGACGTGAAATCTGAAATAACTGAGGAAACAAAGGTTCGAGCTCCCGAGCGTGTGGATTGATTAAGCAATTCATGGCATAACAAACTGGGACCAGGCCCCCTCAGCGTAGCACTGGATCCTACATACAAGGGAAGATGGATTCTTAAGCATTAAAAGAACCAGGATATAAACCAGGATACAAGATTAGGTAATCTGATTTCTAATTGGAAGAAAGATTAGGGACTTTCTGAGTTGGGAGGGGGGAGAGTGGACAGGGGCAATTTCCTGAAATCAGAAAGAGGGGTCCCACTTCCCCAAGTGTTTGTTTTCAACCAAAGGAACAAAGAAACACTGACTGACTACTACAGGGCCAGTTTTCAGGTAAGACATAACAGGTTGCTCGAGATGTATAATTGTAAGAAAACTGCATCAATCTTTGGATCTGACTAGGTTTCTGGTTAGCATAATCTAGGTCCTTAGTTAAGGGACTCTAAAAGCATCAGATAGGGGTGGTCCAGCTTCTCAGCCACAGAGTGTGTATCAAAGAGTGCAATAAAGCTTTCTCACAATTAAGACAAATTAGACTAGATCCATGATTGAATAGAAAGGGGACTGAGCTAATTTCAGATTTGAGTCACAAGATGGATTCTGTGTGATTCACTCAGTTCCCAGTTATCTTCTTAACTACAATCTGAGGCTAAAATGAACTAAGTGGGTTATTGGAAGACTGTGTGGACAGTCCATCTGTAACATGGTACTTACTGTTCACAGAGCGCAGAGTGTGGGCCCCTTTCCACAGAAAAGCAGTCTGGGCAGAACCCTGGGGCCTAGGCCACTAACCAGGTGGAATTGATGGAAATGCAAGGCCCCCATGGCTGCACCACCAGTCCTGATCAAATAAAATTTAACCCAGTCATGAAACTGTGCTTTGGTGTCCTTCTGGGGGGAACTGATGAAATGAGAACTTGAAACTCGACAACTCAACCATTTGCATTTTGGTGCTTTACTGTTCTTAGCTCCTCAATGGCTTATCCTTAAAAAAAGGGATGTGACAATGACCATCTTTGAAAGAGGAACCAAATACCCTGACCCTGGAGGCTGAATGAGATCAAACTGAGGAGCAAAATGGCTTAGAATTTTCTCCTTTTTAAAATTTTTTATTCAGAAAGTAGGACCTATCATTTCATCAGCACTGGGCATTCCCATGTGAGGAAACGCCCTCTTCCTGTGCAGATGAGCAACTGCCTTGCCTTCAGTAGTCTCAGGACATTTCTGGTATCATGGACCCCTTGGGTGAACCCTATGGACCCCTTCTCAAACAGCAGGTTTTTTTTTTTAAATAATGTTTTATTTTTCCCCAATTACATGTTAAAACATTTTTAGCTTCTTTTTATAGTTTTGAGTTCCAAAGTCTGTCCCTCCCTCCTCCCTGAGAAGGTAAGCAATCCGATATAGTTTATACCTGTCAGCATAGTGTTTAAATGCCCAAAACCCATAGGCTTACAGAGGAAACCAATTGGATTGAAATAGAACTAACTGCCAAAAAACTTTTTTAAGGTAAGTCTTAAGAACCTTTGTCTCAAAGAAGAGGCAGAGATGCTGGGAGTTTTGCTCACACTCAGTATGCTGGGCCTCCCTGATAAACAAAGCCGTGTGTGTTTCCCTGGTTCTGCCTTGGGAAATTCTCAGGAAGCCAGACCACCAGGTGGAGTTTCCAGAATGACAAGTCATTCTTACCAGCTCCACCTAGAAAACAAGTCATACCAGAAGTCACTGGTCATGTACATGCATGGTACCCTGGAAAAGTCCTTGCTCTGGTGTCAGAGAGCCTGGGTTCAAATCCTGCTTCTGCTCCTTACCACCTATGGGACCCTGGGCAATTCCCAACACTTCCCTTGGGCCTCAGTTTCCTCATCTATTGAATTGGACTAGATGGCCACTTCTAACTAAATCTGTGGTCCTCTGCATCAGGTTTGGAGTGAGGTCACCTGGGTCCAAATCCAGGTTCTGGTGCTCACTCGCTGCCTTTCTGACCTTGCACAAATAGCCTCATCTCTGCACTTTGGTTTCCTCATCTCTAAGATGGAGGAGTTGACCTCTGTGGTCTCTGAGGAGACCCTCCCAATACAATTCCAACTGGCATTCTAAGAGCAATGTTACTCAGAGTTTATTTCTTACTCTAAAGTGAAAGAAAAAGGGTTCTGAGTAATATGATTCTTAGAACCACACACACACACGCCCCATCAGAGCTTCTGCTGATCCTGGTCCTCATCTCAGAACTGTGACATGGCCTTGGAAGCCAGACTCCTTCCCTCTGGTCATAGAATAGTGCAGCACAGGGAGGGAGCTGCTCTTTGGTGCCCAGGGCTCTTAGGGGGCCTGGAGAAGTGAGGAGATCCATCCCAGGAGCAGTGAGAGTGGAGGGAAAATGTGGAGGAGAGTCAAGGGGCAGAGAAGGAGCGGAGAAGAAATCCCTTTTTGCCCTAAGGAGACCGCATGACCACTTGCTGGAGACGTAGAGGGGACTAGGTGGTTTCTAAGATCCTTCCCAACTCTCTCTGGTTCCACAGAGGTTTACAGATTGATTTACTCCTATTGCCTCATTTGAGAAATGCCTTCAGCTTGTCTGGGGGGACTTCCAACTTTGGTGGATTCCTGACCATTATGAAATGTCACTTCCTTCCTTGTTACAAAGCACAGTCTTCATTCCCCAGTTGATAAACGGTCAAAGGATATGAATAAGCAGTTTTTGGATAAAGAAATTAAAGCTATCTATAATCATATGAAAAAATGCTTTAAATCCCTATTGATTAGAGAAATGCAAATCAAAACAACTCTGAGGTACCACATTACACCTATCACATTGGCTAACATGACAAAACAGGAAAATGATAAATGTTGGAGAACATGTGGGAAAATTGGAACAATGCATTGTTGGTGGAGTTGCAAACTGATCCTACCATTTTGGAGAGCAATTTGGAACTATGCCCAAAAGGCTATAAAAATGTGCATACCCTTGACCCAGCAATAGCATTTCTAGGGCTGTATCTCAAAGAGATCACAAAAATGGGAAAAGGACTACTCACATGTACAAAAATATTTATAGCAGCTCTTTCTGTGGTGGCAAAGAATTGGAAATTGAGGGGATGCCCATCAATTGGGGAATGGCTGAACAAGTTTTGGTATATGAATGTAATTGAATACTATTGTGCTATAAGAAATGATAAACAGGTGGACTTCAGAAAAACCTGGAAAGACTTGTATGGACTGATGCTGAGTGAAGTGAGCAGAACCAGGAGAACGTACACAGGAACAGCCACGTTGTGCAGTGACTGACTTTGATAGACTTAGCCCTTCTCAGCAATGCAAGAATTTAAGATATCTCCAAAAGTCTCATGCTAGAAAATGCTATCCACATCCAAAGAAAGAACTATAGAGTCTGAATGAAGCTCAAAGCACACTATTTGTTCTTTTTTTTCTTTCTGTTTTGTTTTGTTTCTTCTTTCCTGTGGTTCCTCCTCTTGGTTCTAATTCTTCCTTACAACATGACAAATGTGAAAATATGTTTAATAGGAATGTATATAGATAGCCTATGTCAGATTGCTCACCGTCTTAGGGGGGCGGTGGAAGGGAGGGGGAGAAAATTTAAAGCTCAAAA